GAGGGACAGTGCCCAGGCCCAGAGTTCAAGCACCATGACCGAAAAAAAAAAAAAAAAAGAAAGTAGCTCAATGACACACTAGTGTACAATTAGTATATGTGCTAATAATAACAAACGCCTAAACATACTGAAAACTGGCCAGTGTGAGACCCCCTTCTCAGTAAGTCAGGCTTCTCTGCCCGCATAAGGATAGGTGAGATGCCATATGGTGAAAAGATTCCAGGACTGGGTGGAGCCAAATGAAGCCCACTGATATCTACCAGTTATATATTAATTGTGTGCTCAACCAAGCTCCTTGGCACTGCTAGCTCTCCTCCCAGTTCCCTCAAAACCAAATGTTACACTCTGGGTATAAGCCTAGTTCCCTCCTAAAAGCCTTCCAAGGGAAGAGGTTCTTATTAGGGTCTGCCAACCACTCATTTCCAGGCCAAAGTGCAAAAGTGGATCAGAATTCTCTACAAAACGATACCTGTCTATTGCCACATCCGACCAACCCCTCTATCCCATCCAGTAACCAAGGAGACAAAATAGGGGTACCAAAGCCTTCAGACCAGCTTCGGAACGCACCTCAGAGATTGACAGTTTCACTAAGAACTCCAATAATGACAGGAAATGTTCTGCGAAAGCCATCTGGGATGAGACACAGGGAGAGGCACAACTCCAAAAGGCGAAGATGGGGAAAATACTTCAAGTCGTGGGTGTGCAGAGTGCTGGGACCATGCCCTTGGATCATTTCTAATAAAAAGTGCCCAATTCCCCCTGATCTACCTTGTTCAATCTGGGAAAACAATGCACAAGAGACATGTGGTCAAGCTTTGGGGCCTCGGCACAGTGCTCTGTACATTGAGAAGACAGGCCAGGACAACAGAGATCTCAGGACCTGGGATCTGGCTGCGCTGGCAGGTGGTGGGACTCCTGCCTGAGAAAATAAAGCATGTGGCCTGGCCTCGGGGCGGGAGCCTGCGCCTGGGCCCTCATCCCTCGCCACCCAACAGAGCGCAGACGTGGGAAGCCGCTAAGGGGAGGATACCGGGGAGGGGAGAAGGGAGAAGAGGGTGGGGCAAGACGGGGATGGGAGGGGGATCGGGGAGCCAGGGAGATTTCATCACGCAAACGGGCGGGTAGTTTCATCAGCGCCTGAGCGCTGGGAAGGAATGCCTGGCTCCAGGAGGCAGCCCCGATCAGCTTCCTCTTCCTCCTCCACTCCCAGGGCGGGCACTCGGAGTGCTCCCCCAGCCCCCCCCCCGGCGGAGAACGTGTTTTTCTGCACGCCCCACTCCGGGAAATGGGGACCACACCACGGGTGCCCGGGGCGCACCGCTGGGGCAGGGAGAACCCTCGGTCTCGAACACCTGGCTTAGGCGAACTTGTTGAAAGCAAAACTAGAGGTGCTTCTCTTGCTCCGCAAGAGACATTTTTTTTTTTTATTATTCCAACCGAGAGTGCCCGCTGGTGCAGGCCACGCCTTCGCTTGATGGCTGGGGCACCCGGATCCCCCTCCCCCCTCCCCCCTTCAGAGCTGCCCTGAGCGCAGGCCAGGGCCGGCAGCCTGGGCACGCGGCGGTCCTGGGAGGGCGCACGTCCGTGTGCGTGGAGAGGCTGCTTCTCCCAGAACGAGGAACATTAATGGGACAGTTTTGCAGCCCGGCCCCGAACGACGCTCCCGGACACCCAGAAGGCAGGCAAAGGGGACGGCCACCTCCGCGCTCTCGCTGCCTGTGACACCCACAAGCCGGAGTTCCGTCCAGCCCTCCGCGCGCCTCCCGATCGCCCCCCGCCCTGGCCGCCCCCGGAGCCCGCTCCTACCTCCTGGGGTGGTGCTGAAGAGTGTGCCACCGGGGGTGGTGCTGTAGTCCCCGGGCGGCAGCTGCACGCCGTCGCCGAGGACCACCCGGCGGGTGGCGGGGATGGCCCGGCTCGGGGTCTGGCTGCAGCTGCTACCCCCGGACATGTCTCCTGCGCGAGGCCCGGCGATCCGCCTGCGGCCCGCCCGCGCCTCCTCCGAACGGGGTCCCGCAGCGGCC